ATAAAACAATTCTTATATTAAGTGATATAAATACCTTTGTTTCCTCCCCTCAGCTTGTGAACTGCAAAATACAAGGAAGATTTGGGAAGAATGTGGGAGGTAGGGGAGAGGGGAAGCAAATGTTTTCTTTTTTCTTTCTCCCTCCCTCCCAGCTCCCCTTTATCTCCTGTTTGAGGCCTTATTCTTCAGCACATCTCAAAGCTGCTGGTTAGAGACTAGAGCAAGATGAGACTTGCATATTATCTTATAGCATTCATTGCGTGTTTGAGAATAGAAAGTGTTGCATTCAAGTTCCAAAGCAACAAGAAAAAAACACGTTGTCCACTAAACCTGTAACACTCCACTTACTAGAACTGCTGAGATTAATTTGCTCTTCGTATTTCCCAATTCAGGGGAAGGACTTAGTATGAAGCGTAAACCACCTCCAGCAAAGTGCAATGCAACTCTTGCAATTGTTTCTGTAGTTCTAGAAAGATGCTAGATAGTTTGCAGATAGCTGTAAAGTTTCAGTCCTAAACCAGAAAGGCAAATCCATCATGAACTGAGACATGAGAAACAATAAGATGCATGAAATCAAGTGACATCTAAACATGCACCACAGAAATTGTGTGATTTGTTTGGAGGTTTTTTTTTAAATAGAGATTTTTCAGCAATTTATCTCAGCAATTTTGAGGAGAAAGACTAAGTTTCAGTAAAGCCCTGAGGAAGGACTGGCCTATGAGAGCAGAGCCATGAGATGCTGGATAAGAACTTAATGACCTGGGGAAAAATTATTCCAGTTTGTCCTTGTTTTATTCTCACGACTATAATTCTGCCTTCTGTATTTTATATTTTGTAGTAGGTAGGCTCAGGGATGTATGACATCCTTATGTTTAAATGTCTGCAACAAGAAGTTCTCAAAGCATTTTTATATATTCATAGTTGCATCATTCACTTGCAATTTGCTTTATCCAAGTTGCTTTTCATTTGCAAATGAAACAGGAACAATTAGATGCTGCTTGCCTGTTCTTCCCTAACTCACAAGAAGAAACACTTCAGTTAATTCTATCATGCAAGCAGAATCTATCAGGCTATGTGACCTTCCGTATTCAGATGAAAAGCTTTTCCCTTGTAGATGTATTTGCCAGTGAGAAATTTTCTGAGGCACCTATTTTCCAGATAATAGCACCCACAGCTAATAAAATGCCTCACTATTAAAGAGAAATTTACCATCCTCGTCTCAGATACTTTTGAAAAATTCCAATCCTCATTCTGTTTAAGATTAAAAAATTTAATAACTATATATCAAAGGTATTTTTAAATAATGCAAGCTTTGTATTACTGGAAGAAAAAACTTAATTACAAAGAGGTAGCCTACTTTGGACTGTTGATTATCTAGGGGAATGAAGAATCTAGGATTTTGTTTATTATAGTACTTGATACTAAGCAGCATCAGACTAAGACTTCAATTGTTCATAATACTTTCATTTTACTACAGCATATCTAGTAAAACCAAATATCTTCTGAGAAAAAAAGATCTATGAAGACCATTTCCATCTTGTTTCTAAAAATATGTGAGTACTTCCTGGTGGCACATGTAATAGGAAACTCCATTTCATCATAAGTCCTACTAGCTTTTCTTGTAGAAAATTCAGATTCTTTGGTTTATGAGCATACAGAATACTCTGTCCATGTGGCTAATTAAGCCAATCCTTCTGCAGTTTCTTTGAACTCACTCAACTCTTGTCCTACTACCCAGGAAATAAAGCATTTGACACCGATCTGATTTGCACTTGAAATAGAGTATAACAGGAATTAAAAATAAATAAAATTTAAAAGCCCCAAGTCCCCAAAATCCCAGACTTTCCTGTCAATGAGTGAGGAAGAAAACTGGCTTAAGACTAGAAGGCAAGAAGAGCCTAAATCTCCAGAGTCAGTGGCAGCCACCAAACAGACACAGAAATGTTGACTTTATCTGATTAGTTCTGTCATCAGAAAAACAATCTGCCCGAATCATAAACTTGATACATTTATTAACTTTGGCAACATACACATTGATACACCAAGAAAGGGAAATCTGAAACAAATACACAAAAAGGGCAACATCTTCAGCTGGTGAAAACTGACGCAGCTCTACTGAAGAGAGCAGAACCGCATCGATTCAAACCATCTGAGGATCACATCTTTTAAAATTTAACCTGCATAGATTTTTATTTATTTTATTTATTTTATTCTTTTTGGCAACACTTATAGTTATGCCAGTAAGGCACAAGAGCTAGCTCAAGTTAGGTGTCTTAAGGTGATTATGTCTGGGAGGAGTCACTGATCAAACTAAGCCACGGTGTAAACTGGTGAATCTCCTAAAGTCAACAGGAGTTGCACCTACTTGCAACAATGCCAAGCTTGATCCATCAGTTACAGTACTGAGAACACACTATAGGATGCAGAAGCTAAAAATATCTAATTTTGGGCAACTGAAATGACTAGTAAAGAGGCCAGAGCATCAGGTTAAAAGAAAAACAAGACAAAGGTCTCAGAGTACAGTGGGGTAGGGTACAAAGAAGGTAAGAGTGACTGTAGAGACCCAGAGCACAGTGCTCTCCTCCACTGGTTCACAGCGTTTGTCTTCCCCATTTAGCAGTTGCTGGGCTGCAAACAGGCCACTGAAAATCAGTAGTTTCAATCATGCACATCATTATGTGTGTAAAACAATCACATTCAGGATTCTACAAAACCCTGGCCTTTTTTTATTTTTTTTTTTTTTCCAGTGAAATAATTTAGGTAATAAATATTCTCCACCCTGGAGCGGTATAAAACTTCTATAAAAATAGAAACAACATTCTTGGTTACAGCAGGTTGCACTTGGAGCAGTTGCTCCCAACTATGTTTTTTTTTCTTTTTTTTTTTTTTTTTTTTTTTGAAAAGTATATTATTTATAAAAAAAAAAAAAATCCCATTATCACCCTGGAGGCCTTCACACTCCAACACTCTTCTCAGAAAACCAGGACACATCTTTCTCATGGTGCAGAATTCAAGTGTACATGGTTCACTTAAGTGTATGTTTACGTTTCTAAAGAGATTTAAATAATTAACATAGAAGGGTACCACATGCCAGCATAACTGGGAAATTTGGCAATCTGGCCTTGGAACCTTTGCCACCACTAAATAATTTGAATAATACTGATAGATTTTACCTGTTGACCATCAATATAGACAGACTGGCATCAACTAACTGTTTGATTTTTAATTTCAGAATGGAAAGGGCTCTTCTTGGATGCTACGGGTCAGGCCTTGTACTTCTGAGGTTTGAGATCCCAGGGGACCCAGTCCCTGGGAATGTCCCACATTCCCACTTGGGTGTGGATTCTGAACATGATCTCAGGTTTGATGGGTTTCGTGCTCCTCCTGCTGGAGCAGAACAGCAAATCCCACGCCTATGTCTGACCCACACACGCATTATTTAGCAGCTGGCTCCCAGATTGCAGTGTTAGCTGGTGCCCTGGGAAACAGCATCACCAAACCAAGAATACAGAGAAAACAAAAGGAGAAAACATGAGGTAAACTAAAATTCTGTTAAAGATGCACAGAAAATGTAAACTTCCTCTTGTGACAGAGGTGGATTTTGGTGGTTATAAAATAGGACTTTGATTTCTTAAAACAACTCAGGCCAGAGTGTCAAAAGTCCTTTGAGCCCCGTAAAACCAGTGTATAACAAAGGCCCTTAGCAATGCACTAGCAGTTTCACAAGTGTGCAGAAAAAGTGTGTGTTCATTGAAGAGGTGTGCTCAATTTTCCTTCAGTATAGAAGATAACAGCTAGTACCAAAAGGCAGAATTAGACTGAATGGCTCAATGCTCTGCTCTGGTTCCACAGCTCCTCTTTTAGCCTGTTTTGCACTGGTACACACCACCTTAAAGGAAAACTGCAGTATAAAGAAATACCTAATTACTAGACCAAATCACTGCACAAATTGTTTTGTGGATTTTTTGCCTCTTTTTTTTTTTTTTTTTTAAGAAAACAAACAAAACCCAGGAAGTTATCTTTGCAACAGAGTTAAGATTGAGAAATCAAATCCTATGAGAACATGTATGAAACAGGACCCTCAAGAGCTGTGTTAGGGCAGCTCTGGGCTCTGTAGCTCAATTTAACAGTCATTTTAATAGAGAAACAAACAGCACTTACATTATGCTTATCAGAATGAATTTAAAGTAATACTCTGCAAAATGGACATTTTTCCACAGAAATGGGGAATGTGATGAACTGTTAAGGAGAAAAATTGTCAAAACAACTTCTGCAGGTTACCAGGGATCAAAAGTTTCCTGTTTCCAGACCCAGATGTATTGATCCAGACTAAGCTGTCTCACTCTATGCCTTTCTACAAAACTTGAATAAAGTACATAGGGTAAGTTTTCTTAAAGATGGAGAAATGCACTGCATCATATTAATATTAAACTGTAAATGGACAGGAAAATTTTCTGGGCAGGGACATTATCTAATAGTTTTATAAAGTGCTGTGTACATTCAGAGTGCTATATAACACTACTTTATATACAGCAAGAAAAAAATCACTGCAGTTTTCCTTTGGCTTGTTAATGTGCTCACCCTTCTAGCCTGTCTCCTGCTTTAGAGATGATTAACTAAATCCCCACCATGTCATACAGTTAAGGAAAATTCAAAGACTGGGTGGGGCATGACAAAGGCTACGTGGAGTCGGTTCTTTGCTCACCCAAACTTGGATGGGCTCAGTTCTCCTTCCCCATCTTTGCTTTCATCGGCTCTTCTGTGTTATTTCTGCCTTCCCTTCTCCTTTCCCGAATGGCGGTGTGGTGTCAGTTCTGCTTCCCCTTCTCCTCTCTACCCCAAGGCAGTGTGGTGTCAGTTTCTGCTGCTCCCTTCAACATTCCCTCCCCACCCCAAGGAGCTGGCATTGGTCCTTCTCAACACACACTGGTTACAAACACAGCAAACTTCAAATAAGGGAAAAAAAAAATTAAAATAAAATAAAAAAACAAAACAAAACCTCAGCGATATGGCACCTAAACTCCAAAATAAAACACTGGAAACAAAAGCACAAACTTGTCCTCCATCCGAAGCAGGATTCTCAGCAGAGGCTGCAGCCGAATCTTCGGGGGAAGATGCGCCAGATAGAAGGCATGGATCAGCTTCCAGGACTGTAAAAACACAGCCTTAGGGCTTCGAATCACTAAGTGCGCTCCTCTCCAACTTACCAGAAGATCCTTCTCACTCCAGTCCCGGAGGGGAGGGGCGCTCAGTATGGCTTGCTGTCATTCTTAGAGCGCTTGAGCTGTACTTTCAGACGCTTCATGCCAATCTGAAAGCCGTTCATTGACTGAATGGCAGCCTGTGCAGAGACAGGATTGTCGTAACTTACGAAACCTGAAGAAAGGAAAACATGTCATTACACCATGCCAAAGCTGTCCAGAACAGCTACTCACAACTGGAAATGCAGGTACTCACAAGGCAAGAGAGGCTTGCATGAAATGCCATTTTCAGAAGCTCACAACTGTTTTAGACTCTTCATAAAAACTTCTTACTAAAGGCTTAGAGCAAAGCATTGCTTTCTGACGTATGGAACTTCAGCCAAAAGAAATACAAAGCTCAGGAAATTAAAATAACATTTTCTAATCTTCCAACAAAAATGACTGCTAGTGTTTCTTTTCTAAGAACTCATACCTGGGAGAAAAATAAACCTGCAAACTGGGAACCTATATATAAAAGCTCATTAAACGTACAAGACTGAAATCACCCTCTTGGCATTATGGGAGTAGTTTTGTTTGGAGTGAAGTAGCTGTCAAAGCAGTGTGGCACCTGTACCACTATTATGTTTAGGTTTCTCTAGGATGAAAAGAAAAGTTGTGTATCATTCCAGCAAAAGTATATCCTCAAAATCAACTTCTCCAGGGCTTTGAAGGAACCCATTTTAACTCCAGTCAATGGCTGGCATCACTGCCTGGGGAGATCATCCCACATGCAGGTGTTACAGCCTGATGCTCAGCAAATTTTTGTGTTCTCACGGAGCATCAGCCTGTCTACATCTTTTGGCTCAAATACTAAAAAATACAGGATATTATGTAGGCACAAAGCTATCGAAACCATAAAGGCAGGCTCATCTCCTATTCCATTACAAGAAATCTCCATCTATCGTAACAGTCACGAGAGCTTACAGCTCTACAAAAACACTCCAACTGCTTGCAATGGGGTTTCAAAGTGAGGAAAATAAAACAGTGAATGGTTTTATTACACAGTTATATACACAAGCTAAGGAAGAACACACTCTTTGCTCTTTTGGCATCACAGACTTTAGCAGTTAACTGAAAAAAAAAAAATCTATTTGGCTAGTAACAGCAGCAGAACAAGTTGATCTACAGTTTTAGGATACACTTCCCACTGTGATGTGTGTCTCATCTAAATATGTGATAAGCAGAGCAAAATTATAGTAACAGATGCGACCAAACTTAGGTAGTAAATAACAGCTGAAATGGTTTTACTATTACAAAGTTCTCAAGAATTAGGAGGCAGCTTTAAAATTTGCCTTCAGAGCATTTACAGAACATCAGAGCCAAATGCTGCTGTACTATATGGCAGTCATAATAATTCTATATAAAAATATTAAAAGAAAAGATTCATAATGATAATGTAGTAAGTAGTATATACAGCTACATAAACAATGACTGAAAAGACAGAAAGGAGGAAGATGAGGAACTATACTATGATCACAGTCCGCAAACACGAATCATAGTGAATTATCTAGGGCCCTAACAGTAAAATAGAATCACTGAATTGTTTTAGTTGGAAAAGATAACCTCCTCTCACGCAGTTGTGGAAAGTGACAAGGTGAGGCATAATAGTCCAAAATGAGGAAAACCAAAAAGTCACAATGAAAATAAGGAAAATATGGTTCATTGGTAGAAGAATTGGGATTATTTGATTCATTTTTTTTAGGGATATAGAGAAAGAGTCACTACTTGACTTAAAAGCTAGACTAGACAATATACTGGAAAAGAGGTTATTAGAAAGAAGCCACCATTCTACAGGTAATGATTAGACCCAACGTACCAAAACACTTGCTTAGATTGGTCTGCTTGTCAATGAAAACCTTGGCAGAGACGACATTTCCAAATGGCATGAACATCTGCAGCAGATCCTGATCCCCAAACTCCTGGGGGAGGTGGTAGATGAACAGATTGGCTCCCTCTGGACCTTCAAACAACAAGCAGGAATATAAATTCAGAAAGAACATGGATAATATAGGCCCACTTCACAAAAATAGGTGAAAGCGCCATTCAAACCAAATTTTCTAGATAAAACAATGAAACTGCTGTTGGCACTTCCATGGAGTACTTGATTCCAGAATAAATCAGCATGACCCTTTCCTGGGATTGATAATTCTAATAATTCTAGTTCTTTCGCATCATTTTCGCTTGTAATTTCTACATTGTCCAAAACTGCTTCACAGATCTTTGCTGTAATGAAAGCTAAACAGTAAGTCTGAGCTGACTAAACCAAAAATGGCTGTGCAGAGCTTGTGGCCCAAAGCAACTAAGTAAATCTCAATACAAAAGACAAGGAAACACATTACTTTTAATCTGGCAGATTATTTTCTAAATGTTCTACATTCTGCTGAAAACTTACTCCTACATTCTTTAGTACTTTACACTACATGTTAAACTGATTCTGAATTTGAAGAGTGACAAGACTGGCATTAAGTATCTGTGGGAAGAGGTGAAGGACCAAGAAAACAAAATTAACAAAACCACAACTGGTTCTCTGACAGTGGGATGTATCAGGCTGCAGACTCATACTCTCCTGTCCTCCAAGGAAACATAGGAGTACAGTTACTAAGCATTTAAGACTAGACAAATCCTGGGAGAAACCTCACGTATAAAAACTACTTTGGACAGCCCTTAACAGAGGGCTGAAAACTTCACAGATTTCTCTTCTTATCTTCAGTAACTCTAGGATTCTAAAAAATGTCACCAAATAAAGGCTCTTCAGACAAGGTATCTGCAAGGGCGGAGCTTGCCCTCTGAAAACTCCTCTCAAGTTGTTTCTGTGACATTCTGCTTACCTTCTTTTTGACTTCCTGCTGCACCAATACTCTGCTGCGTTAAGAGACTCTGGTTATAGAGTGTGGGCAACGCAGCAGCAGCATATTGCTGGATTCCAGAATAAGCCTGCGTGAGGGCTTCCATTGTGCTACCTGTCCCATTTGAGAGACCACCACTGCCAAGTCCTCCATTTAAGGCTGCCATTCCTGTATAAAAAAGGGGAAATAAAGATGACTTGAGTACTTCCACTGAACCAGATCTATTACCTTTCAAATACTCTGCACTATTACAAGAAGTCAGGGAGCAGAAAAAAACCCCCACAGAACTAGCACAGCCTGAGGAATGATCATCAGTTGCTCCCCTAGCCCACCACAACACATAGCTTACCTGCTAAAGAGCTAACGTTGAGGCCTGCTGTAGCCCCTGCCAGCGTCTGCAATGCTCCAAGAGAAGCCATTGGATTAACAGAAGAGCTGCTACTGGAGCTAGGTGAGGAACCTGCTATTAAAAAGAAATAATTAAACTTCAAGCAATATTTTTTTGGTCCTGATAATGCAACTTCTTCATTAAGTTATTTCTGTAGAAAAGGCTAGTAAGGAACAGATCAAGGTGACACAGGATACTTTAGGTAAAATAATCCCAAACCCATACAACTTGATTGATCATACTGCTTGTATCTTCTAATCCCTTCCTATGTTTCTGAAAAATTTCTACTTCATCTAACACCTACTCTTTGTAGCAATAACGATTTTATTAAGTGTAAGACACCTCATATACAAGGTTAGCTAAACTTTGTACCTCACCACAAGGTGACCAGCAACAACA